TTTCTGTGTATCTGCCTTTCTCTGTCCTTTCCCCCAGCCTTTCACCTCCGTTGGTCTCCATGGGTCAGTTCCCAGAGTGCTAAGCAGTTTCCTGTCTACTCCATCAGCAGACACGTCCAAACCAGGAGAATTTCTCACCCTCTGGCACCTCACACTGCAGGAGCAGAGAAGAGAGGGAGTTGAGGTGATCCATACAGCCCTGAGATGGGGCTGGGGAGGAGGAGAACGAATTGCACCAAAGTTGCATTTCTTAATCCTGCACCACTTTAGGGGTGGTGTTTAAGGGCAGCTGCTGCTGTAAGGGGGGTTTAGCTGCACACTCCTATGGAGATTTCATGGCAGAAGCAGTTGGGACACAATGTTGTGCCCACTGATGGCTGTGGCTGGATTTCTGGGCGGTGTCTGTAACTGAGACACCCTTTCATCACACTGTTTAATGTTGATACGGTGGGATGTAGACTGACCTGGGCAATTGTGTTTTTTTTCTGTGCCTAAATCTGGTACTGGGAAGTGCCATCAACCCTCAACCTTTCAGTCATCCCAATTATGCATCTTCTAATTATGCATCTTGCAATAGACAAAGATAAACACATCTGTCCAGTGGTGGGTTCTCTTTCTCCAGTTGAACTCCCAACTGCACCCTGTGCAAAGCCCTGTGCTCCCTCTCTGAAGATGTCCTGAGCCTGTGGAACTGGCAGCAGAGGAGCACTGTGGTCTTTGGTGCTCCCTCAGATTACGCACCTCCATAACAAAATGAGGAAGTCTGGGTTTTGAGGTTTCAGGGTTTGGGTACTTTTTGTTTTTAAACTGGAATATACTGCAGCAGAACAATCCAAACAGCCCACAAGGACAGTGATGTTACCACAGACAAAGAAACTCTCCTACACGGGGGATTTCTTTGCTTGTTTTAGGGGAAATCAGCCCTGAGGCTTTAAAAATGCAAACAAATTAAAAAAAAATCCAAAGCAAAAGTGGTGCAGCCATAGTATGTTATCTTTTAGAGGCCAGAAAATTAGTGTTGAATAGCATTGCCAGAAGGTGGAAGAGAAATGAGGATAAGAAAAGAGAAATAGGAGGAGAAAGAGAAGAGAAAGCTGGGCAGATATGCCAGGGCTATTTTCCAACTTTTGGCTCTACAAGGGCTAGAGCCGCTGCAAGAACATGATTTGGAGTTAAATCCACTTGGCAGCCAGTCATGAGTGGTGTCCCACAGGGCTCAGTACTGGGGCCAGTTCTCTTTAATATCTTTATCAATGATCTGGATGAGAGGATCGAGTGCACCCTCAGTAAGTTTGCAGATGACACCAAACTAGGTGGGAGTGTCAGCCTGCTGGAGGGTAGAAAGGCCTTGCAGAGGGATCTGGACAGGCTGGATCAATGGGCTGAGACCAACAGGATGAGTTTCAATAAGGCCAAATGCCAGGTCCTGCACTGAGGTCACAACAACCCCAGGCAGCGCTACAGGCTTGGGGAAGAGTGGCTGGAGAGCAGCCTGGTAGAAAAAGACCTGGGGGTGTTGGTCGACAGCAGGCTGAACATGAGCCAGCAGTGTGCCCAGGTGGCCAAGAAGGCCAACAGCATCCTGGCCTGTATCAGGAGCAGCGTGGTGAGTAGGACCTGAGAGGTGATCATCCCCCTGTACTCGGCACTGGTGAGGCCTCACCTCGAGTGTCCAGTTTTGGGTCCCTTACCACAAAAAAGATATTGAGGTGCTGGAGCGGGTCCAGAGAAGGGCAACGAAGCTGGTGAGAGGTCTGTAGAAGAAGTCTTATGATGAGCAGCTGAAGGAGCTGGGGTTGTTCGGTCTGGAGGACTTTGAGGGGTGACCTTCTCGCTCTCTACAACTCCCTGAAAGGAAGGTGTAGCCAGGGGGGGTTGGTCTTTTCTCCCAAGGAACAGGTGATGGGACAAGAGGAAACGGCCTCAAGTTGCCACAGGGGAGGTTCTGATTGGATATTAGGAAACATTTCTTCATGGAAAGGGTTATCCAGCATTGGAATGGGCTACCCAGGGAAGTAGTTGAAGCACCACCCCTGGAGATATTCAAAAGATGAGTTCACATGGTACTTGGGAATGTGGTTTAGTGTTGGTCGGTTGTTTTTTTTTTTTAAGGTTGGACTAGATGATCTTAGAAGTCCCTTCCAACCTATGTGATTCTATGATTTAAAGTCCCCAAAGCCTTAAGAATAATTTATTGCTCCAACTACCATAGGAGTCCTCACAAAAACTGGCTGGGCATTTTGCTATGCCAGTATCTTACAGCTTTTGTGTAGACCACAAAAATACAAACAGTAGACAAGGTCTTCTCTTTGGTCCTTGCAGCAAGAACTTCCTAGTTTTTAGCAAAAAAAACTCTGGTTTCCTCTGTGCTAGAGTCTGTTCTATGTTATTTTTCTGGCAGAAATGCAAAAGCAATGATCAAAATTTCAGAAAAAGTCATTTTAGCAGCCTAAGGTAAAGGTTTGGAAAAGCCAGTCAGAAACAGAATTGCTTAGTAGGGATGCATGATCTTTAGTGGTTATTCTGTAGAGACACTCTCCAAGTAATGCTGAGGTGAGGAAAAACCAGATAATTTGGAACAGCAGCATTAATGAATTTAGTAGTTGTAACTCCACTATGTAGCCTGGTAATATGGTATTGTTATTGTTAGCAACAGGCTGTAAGCTTTGTAATGAGTTTGCAAGGCCTCATGGGTGAAGTTTGTCAGGTTTTCTCTGCTTGAATTTTTCTTGACCTGTTTGTAATTTTGTTTGACCGGGTGTTGTCACATCCCACTCTCAGGAAAGAGCTGGGGTAAGTGACTTCAGATTTGTAAATCCCCAACGGCATTGACGAATGTGAGATAAATCTCAGGGTCCATATACATTTATTAGTTTCCCAAAATGATTAGTATAGGTCTTAAGAAGTCCACAATAATTCATTAGGTATATCACAACTTACAACGAGTGATGAAATATGCATTGTGTTACTTAACAACAGGTATACAACAACTTATGGCAAGAGGTATTTAAGGTCATTACTTAACAACTTTAACCGTTACTTAACAACTCTAAGAGAAAAGAGAAACTGAGGGATAGAGAAAGGAAAAGATAAAAAAAAAAAAGATAGAGATAAAGAGATCACCGGTCCCGGTTCCAGCATCTTTTTCAGGGAATCTTCCCAGGCGTAAATCATCTTTTTTTGGAAAAATCTTCCCATGCACGATCTTCTTTGCTCCCTCTAGGGTTAGAGTTTCCCAAAATGATTAGTATAGGTCTTAAGAAGTCCACAATAATTCATTAGGTATATCACAACTTACAACGAGTGATGAAATATGCATTGTGTTACTTAACAACAGGTATACAACAACTTATGGCAAGCGGTATTTAAGGTCATTACTTAACAACTTTAACCGTTACTTAACAACTCTAAGAGAAAAGAGAAACTGAGGGATAGAGAAAGGAAAAGATAAAAAAAAAAAAGATAGAGATAAAGAGATCACCGGTCCCGGTTCCAGCATCTTTTTCAGGGAATCTTCCCAGGCGTAAATCATCTTTTTTTGGAAAAATCTTCCCATGCACGATCTTCTTTGCTCCCTCTAGGGTTAGTCATTTTCCCCTTTTATGTTTGCTGAATTAACATGGTTCACTGCCCTTGCCAAGGAAAGCCTTATCTCAGGTTTCTTCCTTCTCTCAGGTGACGTGTAGCATGATTTGGGTGGAGAGACGAGTGCCATGGTCATATGTTTAGCTTGATCTCTATAATCTTCATTAGCATCTGCAGGTGTGTGTGCTTTTATATGCATTTTGTGGATAATGAAGCAAAGATCACTTATTGGACACAATGGCCTTGAGAACACAGAATTAGCAAGCTCACCACACAAGCAGCAGAACTATCTTGTCTCCAAAATACAGTCCTCCTACCATTTTTCCAGGGCCTGTGAGTCTTATCAGTTCTTTGGATGTCAGGCCTGCATTATTTATGAGTGTTTGAGGCATTCCATAGAAGACTTGGAGGGTCTTCTCCCCCTCTTCAGGGAGTTTACAGGTTGTCCCTTACAGGTGTTTGTGACTAATTTGTTTTACTTTTGTTTATCTTTGTATGGTACCATCAAGGTTTTACAACTCTAATGCACTGATGCAGTGTAGGCCTGGATGACAGAGATCTTTAGAAGTGGAGACATGAGGAAATGGCATAGAGGTGTAGAGGCATGGAGTTGGATAAGAGGTGGGACACAGGCATGACACCAGAGACTTCATGGCTATAAATAGCCTCTAACTCCTGGTTTTCCCATACTAAATAATCTGTCCACAGAAGCACAATGTGTGATTAGCCCCCGGGTTGATGGTTTTGTCTCATATCTCCTTACCAATTGGAGGATTCACAATGTGCCACATCTGTTTTGTCCAGATGTTATAAAACCACACAACCAGCTTGTACCAATTGCAGCTAGCAAGTGGCAGGTTTCTGTTGGAGAGTTAAAAACTTAAATTTCCAGCATTTCCAACCCCACACAAATACACATAGTTATGTGCTACCTGTTAGCAGTCACATTTTAAGCTATTTTTTCATCTACCACAGATATGAAGTGCTGAAAAGTGGGAGGAAATTTCTGTGTTTGTAAATGGCTGTAAGCAACATCTAGGGCATGCTGTGCTGAAGGATGTAGCAACATAGTTTGAAGGCCACAAATAGGCTTATGAGAAAATGTCTCCTGAACACCTTAACAATATTGATTTTGTATGAGTAAATAATAATTTTAAGAAGTTTATCTCGGTCAGTTTTCAGTGGTTTTTCATACAGATGACAAATTTTTATTCCTAATCACAATTTCAACATAGCTGTACCTTTTCCAGGGCATTGGACCACTAGAGGTCCTGTATAAAACCCTTCTGTTTGGTTGGTTTTATTTTACTCTTTAGCGTGATGTTGAAGAGCAGTACAAGAACTTCCAAAGCACTACTGAAATATTTTTGCTGAAACATTGCAAGAATACTCATCGTAAGAAGAAACAAAAGTAGCCCAAAGAACTCAAATTATTTATGGAAAATTCAATCAAATATAAAGAGGCTTTTTAAGATAGGTTCTTGGGGATTCATCTCTATAGGCAACACTACTTTCTCTTCTTGCAAGAGGGAGAGAATAACAAAAACCTATAAATTACTGCCAACAAGATAATATGCTTGAAAAATTCAAATAGCTCGATTCTGTTGCATGCCATTATGTCATTTCTTCAATAACTGTTATTTCTTCAGTTTCATGCTTCATCAATTGATTTTTATATTCTCTCTATTAAAGGAAGAATAAAACATATCATCAGTTTTTCATGCATGAGATTATTCACGAGTTTACAATTTATGAATCCCCGGTTATTCAGAGAGTTGTTGTTTATTATACAGAAGCTGTAGTGGGACTTTGTCAATGAGAGGACTGAAGTAGACAGGTCTAGGTGTACCCTCCATGATGAGCTCTCCAAAGAGGAGCAAAAGACTTTTCAAACTCAAAAGCCAGACAACTCATCTTTCTAAACATACGAAAGTCAACATGATTAAGGAACAGAAAGGAAAAGGTTTTATAAAGGCTCACCAGTGATCCAGTATGTCCTTGCAGACACATTCTTGCTTCCAGACCTGGCTGTAGTCAACTTAAAGACTTTCAGAAAATTGCAACGAACTTTGCAACATTCTCTTTAGACTGACAGTTCCCCTCTGTTACTTGCAATGTCTGTCTGTTCCTTCTTCTTCTTCTCATGAGTCTCTCCAGCTCTCTGCATAGGCTAGAACCTCTCAGCTCTCTCCTATACTTTCTTTCTTACTGAACCCTAGAAACTTTTCCTCCTTCAGCATCACTGCCAAATGCATCAGTAAGTCTCAATGTTGTCTACTATGGCACAACTATTTTTGGCCAGCAGTAGACGACTTTGCTCCTTCTCTCCCCATAGCCAACCAAGAGTCTGATTCTGCATTGTTATTGGGCTGAGAATCACAGAATCACAGAATGGTAGGGGTTGAAAGCAGTTGATTTGGAGATCATCTAGTCCAACCCCCTTGCCAAAGTAGGGTCACTTAGAGCAGGCAGGACAGGAATGCATCCAGGCAGGTTTTGAATCTCTCCAGAAAGGGAGACTCCACGGTGTCTCTGGGCAGCCTGTTCCAGTGCTCTGTTACCCTCAAAGTAAAGCAGTTTTCTTTTTTTAAAAGTCTTTTAAAAAATCTTTCTTTTTTAAAGAAGCTTAGGCTTAGCACTATTCTAGTGATAGCATATGAACTATAGGGAGAGCAGGGTGATCTCCAGTGCTCCTGTTAGACAGATGACCAGTGTTTCAGAATGGAAAAGGAAAACCAAAAGAATTATTGCATATGGACCTTGTCTTTCAATACCCCAAGAACAAGAAAGAAAATTCATCCTTGTTTTTGTGCATCTTTCTGACACTTAGGTCATACTTTAGAGACTGCAATGGACCCTTATTTACAAAAAATTTCAGGCAAATGGAAAGAAAACATACCTCAAAATCCCTTGGAGAGATCTCATGGAATGGGTCTCTTGGCTGCAGTACTGTGGCAGATTTTTTTTTCAAATAAATGCTTCTACAAAGACAAAAATTGCTGGTGAAGACAAGACTTTGCATGCAAATATATAAGGATGTACTATACAATAATGCCCCTGAGGTATTATTTTATCCCTCTAAGACAAAGTGAAGAAGTAACTAAAAATTACATAGGCTGAATACAATGGTATCATTTAATTGTTCAGAATTTGGATGATAATAATTTATTTTATGACATATTAAAGAATAATAGGAAGTTGCTGTTTTAAGTATTTGAAAGGGAATTATCCTCAAAACAAGGAAACAATTTCATGTACCACCCATCTACATTACAAGGTCTCATGGCAGGAAAGCAGCACTGTTGTAAGGTTTTGTCTCACTATTAGAAAGTGGTGTATTATGGTTGACCAAGGGGGTAAAAAGGTTGGGAATCAGAAATATAGAGTCCACTTGAGCAACATCTAGCAGCTCATGATTCCTGCTATAGCTCAGAGTCAATTTTCCCCCTCCCTCCTTTCCTTTAAAAGGAGGCCAGAAATTTTCTGTTGGGGAAAGAGATGTTGTATCAACTACAGAATAAAAATTTTGTACAAGAAATAAGGCTTACACTGTGCAGAGACAAAGCGTGAGACTTGCTGCCAGCACTGCTACCAGAAATAACATATATGATGAAGTAGATGTAAGTTGTTCTTTTCCTGAAAGACAAGCAATCATCAAAGTGTTGATCAGCATCACAAAACAGGAACAACTAGACAGCTCTGTGCAGTCTGCCTTGCATGAAAATGTCAAGCAACGGTATGAAGTGGCTGCTTCTTTAGCTTGGCACCTCACTGGCCTATAACATGTGAAGGAATGGGATGGCTGACAGTATAGGGACTGTCTGCAGTAACTCAAGACCTTACTAAGCATTTTGTGAGGAACTGAGACCTACGGAGTACTTAAAAATCCAAGGTGGCAGAGAGCAACAGGGGAAAAGAGAAATTTATAAAGCCAGAAGTAGAAATGGAAGAAGGAAAAGGGCTGGCAACAGTCCTCAAAAAGGTCTGCTTAGTTATTGACTACTTGCAAGAAGCACCCACTGTCACACCAGAATTGTTGGGTACCTCCCTCTTATTAATAGATATGCTAGCAAATTAATGTATAAATATCAATGTATTTCCATCTGTAAGCATGAAGTAATAAATGAGGCAGACAAGTAATAACTGAGGGAAAACTAAGTCAAGGAAGTGATCTGCATTCTTACCAAACTCTACAGGTGTGCTCCACTCTCCCCAGCTTTCGCTCACTAAACAGTCATTGTTGGTTGCTCTGATTTTGACGCTGTACCTTTTTTCTGCACTGAAGCTCTCAAATTCGTAGCAGTTTTTCTAAATACACAACAGCTAGACTGAGAACTTTTTATTCACTAGATGTACAGATGTTAGGAATGTGTCAGGTTCATTTAATGATGCAAACAATGACAAAAGAAAAGTTTACACATAGTTGTGAATATGTTGTCACATAGTGAATATACTAGAGTGAAATAACAACTAGAAAATCACTTTCTGGTGATGTTTTTTTACCTCTTCCATCTCAACCCCTTTCAGAGACCATTAATAAAGAAAAAATTCTCTACATTTTGTGTATCTAAGTGTAATGTGGAAATACGATCCATATTTCTACATATATATGAATTTGGACTGTAAAATGGAAGATTTTTTGACTTGCATAGAAGCAATATAAAGTTCCACATGTGCAGGTGTTTTTTGTACCATGTTTTATAATTAACAGTTTAAAACATTGAGTTCAGGAAACTTGCCAATAAAGAACAAATGTAGCATACCGAAACTGGTAGTGTGAAACCAAAACAATTTGATTGGAGAATGTCCTGATATAGATGAAATTTCAACCCAGCATAAATGTTCGATTAATTGATTAATATGGTAATAATGACTTACTGTTCGAGATGTGGTGATGTTTTTCTTAGGATCAACCTATCAGCAAGAGAAAAATTTAATTTTTATGATTGTTCTTTTTGTTACTATAAAATAAATGCTCCTGCCTGATGAATGTTTGATTTTAAGGGAAAAAAGAATACATGTCATATTTTAAATGCCTTCTTTTAAAGACAGTGAGGTTAAGCCATTTTTCCACTGAAAGTTTTTTCCTCACCACTGATGCTCTAAAATACTGTTCCATTTAAATTTGATTGCAGAACTGAGTATCAAAGGACTAAACAAAAAAAGGCTTAGATTGCCCACCAATTAAAATTGTATGTTTTACCTTTACAAAACAAAGTATCTAAAAAAATACTAGTAAACTGGGATTTTTTTCCATTAAAACTTCTGTCTGTGTAGCTTTTACATTCTTAAACCTTTAATTTAGCTATATTATTACACCATTTTTTACATTTGTTTACTGTTAAAATAACAAACTCACAAATATTTCAAAAAATGTTTCAAATTTTGTTTTTGATGGATATAATACTACTTTCCATATTCATCCAAATCTTCAAAATACATGCATTTACTGAAATGTATAATACAACCATTGCGGTGGGTTGACCTTGGCTGGACGCCAGGTGCCCACTAAGTTGCTCTATCACTCTCCTCCTCAGCAGGATGTGACAGGGGGAAGAAAAAACCCTTGTGGGTCAAGACAAAGACAGTTTCATAAAGCAAAACCAAGGGCCACATAGAAGCAAAGGAAAACAAAAGATTTATTATCTACTTCCCATCAGCAGGTGATGTCCAACCACTTCCTGTGAAGCAGGGCTTCTGGATGTATAGCAGTTCCTCCAGAAGACAAACTTTGTAAGTAATGAACGCCCCTTCACTCCTCCTCTCTCCCTTCCTCTTTTCTCTTAGCTTTTATTGCTGAATAGGCATCATATGGTATGGAACATCTCCTTGGTCAGTTTGGGTCAGCTCTCCTGGCTATGTCCCCTCCCAAGATCTTGCCCACCCCTAGACTACTCATGAGGTGGGAATGCTGGAGAGACAGCCTTGATGCTGTGTGAGCTCTGCCCAGCAGTAACCACAACATTGGTGTGTTATCAACACCTTTCTAGCTACCAATACAAAGCACAGCACTATGATGGCTGCTATGGGGAAAATTAACTCAGCCAGATCCAACACAACTATACACAGTTAAGACCTTGAAAACCTGGATATTCTGTTCCAACAACCTGACAGAATATTTCTTTTCATTCAAAGATGTGGATGGGTCTTTCCACTTCAAGTTTACAAGAAAGGACACAGAACTTAATAAACCCCCCCAGTGAACAGCTGCTGTATTACTGCCCCTTACTTCTGATTTTGACAGCTGTGGTGCAACCATCTTAATTGTGTATGCTGCAGATCTGCTTTAGATAAACATAAACTCCTAAAGTCCTTCAGCAACACCACACTAGTGTGAGTAAATGGATGCAATAGGAGAAGGAGGCAAGGCTGGTTACACAAAGGGGAGGGTGGAATGTACAAGGGTGGAGATTCTGAAGTGCTCTTGCAGCACATTCTAAATTACACATGTGCCTTTGTAATAAAGCATGTGTTACTTCTTTGAACCTAATTTAGTAATACCATAAATCTGACTGAGCAGTAATGATGACTACAAGAAGTAGGAACACAAATGCAAAGTGAGTTTGTGAAAGACATGATAAAAGGTGACAGATGGGATAAGAGACTGCAAAGTGGAAAAACCCCAGAACAGAAGGTCCTGACCTAACTTCATCAAAAAATAGCAGTAGGACTGACAGACTACACTGGGACCCATACAGCCTTACAGGGACACGTAAAATTGGTTGCATCCAATTTAACAGTAACTTTGGGGTTTTGTAGTATATTTAGAGCTCACTTAAGACGCTCCATTTATGAGTTCTATTTAATGAACTATAACTCTTCATGATAAAGTTGTCAGACAATACAATCTATCCCCCTATCTGTGCTAGAAGAACTATTCACCCTCAGTGTGGGGAATCCCTTTGTCCTGGTGTGAGGCAGAGCAGAGCCAACTTTCTGTTCTGTGAGAAAGACTCTTGCTTATATTTGTTGCTGTAGCAATCAGGGTCAGCTCACCTGGGTGTTTGCCCTGTAGAGGAGTTACGCCTGTGGGGAGGTGTGGACGGGTCAGGTGACCCAAACTGATCAATAGGGTAGGGTATTCCATCCCATTCACCATGCTCACTATAAAAGCTGACGGATGAAAAGAGTCAGGTTGGCTCTTCTTTAGTGGCTATTTTTTTAAGTGGTTCTTTTTCTTTGATGATTGGTGCCTGAGGAAGACCCTATCAGTTTCTTTACCTCTGATCCTGATCAGAGTATTCCAGAATCCAGCTCCCATTCATCACTGAGTCCAGTCTGGAACTTTCCCAGTACCTGCAGGTGACATCTCCCTGGGAACTTGATACAGGTTTGTATATATTTATATATATTTTATCAATTTCATTAAATTTATTTTTTGTTGTTAGGATTTCATTAAAGTAGTTTTTTTCCCAAATCATAACTCTCTTTATCTCTCTTCTTTCTCTCTGTGGAGTGAGAGGTGGGAGAGAGCATCTGTTGTTTTTTCATTGGCCAACCTGGCCCAAGCCATGACACCCTTGCTCGGTTTCTTTAAGAGCCAGTGTACAGTGGACTGAAAGCATTCCCTCAACTTGCTGTTCCTATTCGTAAGTGACAGCAGTCCCCAGCTCATGCACAAGAGAGACACTGCATATCAAAAAGGAGAGATTAGTCAAGTAGAGAAAGAGAGCAGGGTATTAGTTGTATGGTAGTATGTGTGGAAATACAAGCATATGAAATACTATTAAGAGTAACAATTATTCTTACCTTGTTTTCTATGACAATTTCATATTTGAAACAAGCATCCTCTCTTTCCACATGGCTTGTGCGAGGTGGTTGCCACCAAATGTCACAGAGATGAGAACCTTCTGTGCAGTTCACAGTGACATTTAATGGAGGGGTAAGTTTTTCTACAATAAATTAATCAGAAATATTATTGATTAATAATCAGCTCTCTTCACTCTGCATTTTCAAAATATAAGTAGATGTTCAAGCAACTGGTTTAAAAATATACAATGAAGTTTTGCCAGAGTTATTAAATTCAGAAGCAGGTAGGTAAAAGTAAAAAACAAACCACTTGTTAGATTTTACTCAATTCAGCATGTAATTGGTGCAGATTTTGTTTTTTTATAGTGTTAATATTGAATAGAAGTATTTTTTATTAGCAGCACATACAAAATGAAAGGTTTTGCTCACAGTGTTAAGTTAATTAGTTCTTTTGTATTATGTGAATGAACAGAATTTTGAGATAATGATACAAGACCAACATCTAGATAGTCCTGCTCAGGCATCCTTAACTAGTTAATCCCAAAAGATGACACCTTTCTTTCAGAGAACAAATATTTGACTGAATCATTCACAGTTCTCCGACCTAAGATTTCAGATTGTGTCTGCATTCATTTGGTTTTGTTCATTCTTGTACTTTTGACTTTTCAGCCATCAAGGCTGGGGAAAAGGCGGGTGGAAAAAATCTGTTCTGAGGAGCGGTATATTAAAAATGTATACTTTTCTCCAGGGATGAGTTCTTCATTCCCTTAGCATAAAACTGGAAATATAACTCGAAAAAAAAATCCTTACCAATTCTGTAGAGAATAATCTTCTTCTTATATGACTGAATGTTTTGTCCACTTCTAGACCCATTTACCAGGAAATGAGCTTTCGTATTTTTTATTGTCACATTTTGGAAACTGCATCCTGTGTGCCTTCCATAATTATCTTTGATGTAATTCTGGCATCCTGTAAAATCTTCTTTCCTTTACATGACATATTTCATTAGTTAAATATTGACAATAACACATATCAGACTAGAATTCAAAATTCCCTGGACTCCATCAGACCTACTTACTCTGAGGTCTTCCAGTACAGAAAGTATTGGGTATCTCCTGAAGCAGTCTGGCCCGCGTGCCAAGTGCAGTTCATGAAGGAAACATTAAAAATGACACAGACAAAATTTTCAATGGCTGTTCCATCCATACCTGCAATCACAGCAATAATATCCCATGTCCACTCTGTCAAAAGACTGTACAGCTGCTCAAACAATGTAGATGTCTGCAAGCTCATTTAATAATTTTTAGCCACCTGATTAGTAAATCCAACCTAATATTCTTTGGGTCTTACAGCCTTACTTTAAGGCAGCAATGGTTATATTTGTGTTGAGCCATGAGAATTATCTACCATTATTACAGATGCTGAAGATGTGACTAGGATTTAATCAGCTCTTTAATCGACTCAGCCACAGGGATGTAGTGGAAGTTAATAACAGACAGTCTTTGTTGTGTCTTTTGTTTAGATCCCCTGTTTATCTAAGGTCCAGTCTACAGTGGAATATAAATTGTACAACCGTAAGCAAGGCAAGTGTTTGTCTTAAGTTCTCTGACCCTTGGTTGACTTAAACAGGACTAAGGCTTTGAAATTACCTGTCCACCACTTTCTACTGTGTAACAACTGGGTGATTACAATCTAACTTCGAGACTGCTTTCTGAAGCTATTCCCTGCAGAAGTGTTATGATTTTGAAGACAGAATGACATCTTTTTCAATCTTGAGTTGAAAATGGTTGCTAATCTGTTCTGACATGTTGGATTCAAGGACAGGGGGAATTCTGTTTGCACTGAACGTGATAGAAGCAGGCTTGATTATTTATGTCATTAGTGTAAAACAAGACAAAACTGAAGCAGAAGCTGGTAACTTAAGCTTAAGTTAAAAGACTGTTTGGGTGTTCAGGTTGTGTATTCACATGAGGAATTCATTCCTTGTGTGTTTCTTCCCTACCAAAAGGTGAGATCTCCAACAGGAAATAATAATCATGCAGTACCTTGTCTTAACTACTATCATCATTAATTGAAGGACTGGGTCACAGCTTTCCAAGACAGTAAGCTTAAGCCCACCATCCCTCCCACCTTTACATGTACCTCCTCAGACTGCCTTAAAGCTCCTCGTCTAACACAGGTTCCCAAATAAGGGAACCAGAAGCTGCCATATTATGAGACCAAGTGACTGTCTCCTGTCCAGGCTTCACTGTAATCAAAGCTGGAAACGTCTTGTTCCTTATATTCCCACAAGCATCTGATCATGTAGCTGACAGCACTGATTTCAAAAGAAATGTTGTTATTGAGCAGACCAAAACTTCTGACATCAGTGGATGCTTAGGGAGAAAAGTATAAGGAGAGAGAAAGCATCAAGCAGGCCTTTGCCTATATGCTCTCTCATCTACCAGTAAGCAGTGCCCTATGGACTTGCAAAGTTGAAGGCTACCTCATAAATCACTGTGCATAGAAGTCCAAGAAAACCTAGTCCCTCATTGATTTCCATCATCCATTTTGAATCCATTTAATTTTTTGGCCTTTACTACATCCATTGCCAATAGGATTAGCAGTAGGAGAATTAAAAAAGTTTATTTTCCTTCTGGCTCCTTTTCTCTCTTCAGCTGTAATGTGAGAAAAGGTAATTCTTCTCTGGAAAAGGAGTCCAAACACACTCTTGTACCTAATATTTGTTTGTGGCTTGCTCCAGGCAGGTGCTGTGCTGTATGGAGCCCTTTGGGACTACGTTACCAAATGAAGATTCTTCCATTTGGATGTACTACAAGTGTAGGCACATAATCACAGAATCACAGAATTGTGGTGGTTGGAAGGGACCTCAGAGATCATCGAGTCCAACCACAAAAAAAAAAAAAGAAAAAAACAAACAAAAAACCAAAAAAACCACACCACCCACCACCTAAACACACAACAACAACCAAACCAAAAAACCATCACCCACCCACTCAGCAGCCCATGACAAACCAATAATCTTGGGCACTAGAGCATGCCCTGAAGAAACATGTCTACACGTTTCTTAAAAACCTCCAGGGATGGTGACTTCACCACCTCCCTGGGCAGCCCATTCCAATGCCTGATAACCCTTTCAGTAAAGAAATGTTTCCTAATATCTAACCTGAACTTCCCCTGGCGCAACTTGAAGCCATTGCCCCTTGTCCTGACATCTGTAACTTGGGAGAAGAGACCAACCCCCGCCTCTGGTGGCTAGGCTCACAGTTTCCAGAGGGAAAGCTGTTATCTAGGAGACCTGACCTAATATGATGTTGTGTAGCCTGGCTACAAATAGAGCTGGATGAATTAAAACCCATCCCTCAGAACACCTTGGTGGAAGTGCTCAATTCACACTCATCAGACTGGGACTCAGCATGAGCTAGGAGAAACACTGTCAGGGACAGGACCTTGCAAAGGAGTCCCAAGAGTAGCAACCTTCTGACTCTTAGATATTTAAAAAAAAAAAGGAATTGTTCAAGAGACAACAAAGTACAGGATGGTACAGGAGTACCATAATACTCCTGGGTTTTTACAAAACTTCCTCTCTTCCAAGAGGAATGTTGAAGCTGTTTCAAGAGCTTGGTCCAGAAGCATTTCTTTCAACTGCACTGTTGGTCTAAGAATCCCTGTCCTTCTCCTTCCTGATTCCATCCTGCCTCCCTGCCTGTGCTAGAACCATTTATGGTAGGACCTCATAGTAGCTCTGAAGCAGAGGTCATCACTAAAATGAATAATGCTCATCCCACTCCAGAAGTTTTTGTTTCTTCTCATTTTTTCATCTGGCTTAACATTATTTACCACAAAGAGTGGAACAAGCTCATCTGAGATGACAGTGTGGGTTAGCAGCAATAATGCTGGCCCCTATCTAGTCACTAGAGGCATCTAGGTTTTCAGCATGGAGTTGCTTATATCCAACTTCTGTGCAAGTTTATATATATATAAATTTTTTTTATATATATAACACACCTTGCCTGAGAGTCCAGTGCTTATGGTACTGTACTAAGGTGATGGAGAGCTTTGCTCAGTTCTCTGGTCTTCCCCAGATTCACTTTATGACTGACAGTCAATCAAATCTGTACTTCACCTCCTCATTTACAAAAGGAGGAGAGAAGATTTCTTTTCATCAAGAAATTGTGAGGTAAATGCAGAAATCTGAAGTATGATCACAGATGCTGTGCAAAGGTCTTAGGGAGATGGGCTTCCTAAAGACTTTGGCAAGGCTGCAAATCAAAAGAAAAAAAGGATTATTCTGATTTCATATCAGATCACCGCCTGGTTCATGTGTGGCCCAACAAGCAGTTGAGTTGGCTGGTGACATAGGAAACAGGGACTCAAAAATTGACACTGTAGTCAAGTAAAAAGCAAATGAAACCACATCCTTGGCCTCTTCAGCAATGGACACAGTCTTTTATATCCAAGAGAAGCATATAGAGATATACTCAGACATTCTTTAATTAGCTTAAGTCCTACAGCCAGAACATTGCCTACAAAACAGCCATGATCAGTTGCACAGTATTACATTCATACCAACATCAAGCAAATGCTGGGAAGATCATTCAGATATGTGTGGGTCACATTATTGCCTTTTCTGACAGGACTTTTTTCCCAGGTTTTGAGAAGGTTTAATTTTTGCTTTATTCACCTTTCTGGGCATATGCCAAAGAAAATCTAGCGGACTAGACAAGTATGACTACCCTTCCTTTAAGGTCTATTTTTGAGCCTACTGTATTCACCCACAGTGTCAGTGTTACAGTTTATTTTTACTTTTCACAACACCTGGAATTGAGCCATGTCTTTGTGAGACATTTCTCCCATTTTCTTCCATTATTTCAATGAGACACTGAAATTTTTCTCTTCTCAGTTTATACTTGAGTACTAGCTAAATTTTTCTAGTGGTTTCTTGCTTAATAACTCTTCTTTTAATAACCACATATTTGTCACTTCTTTATCATTACTTCCTTAAAAATAGGAAGGAACATAATCTCTTGATCCTTTTCTGTGAACTCTGATGCAGACAACAGCGTAATTTCTCTGTAGTACATTCTTTCTTCTGAACTGCCACCTGTGTTCCTAAATAGTGACAATAAAATACATGTGCAAGTATACTGATATCCTCACAAGCATCCTTTGTTTCATACATAAATAACTTCTTTTCCCGTATTTTTTAATACATTTAGCTATATTTGAAATCTTTCTTGAAATTCTTTATATCCTTTTGTGAAAGAGGTAATATGCTTGACTGAGACAGATGTGATGGTTGTGATTGCACACACCTGCATAACAACCTACTGTTTTAAACACACACAATGCTTGCTGTTATTTATTTATTTACTTTTCTTGAGCCAACTTAGATTACCTCCATCTCTTGTTAGAAACTATGTAGGAGTAGTAGCTGCAGAAAAATACCAGAGAAAAGAAATTTCGGCTCTGCAATCCTTTGTGGTAATCAGGATTATTAACAAGGAAAGACAGGGTCTCACCTCTGGGTCTTGAGCCCAAGAGAATTTTTACTTTTATTCAGTATTTCTTGAATAGAAAATGCATAAACTGCTCTTAACTTTTGGACACAATGGATCAGATAATTTATAAAGGATTGCAAATAACGTACTTGCAATTGGAAATGAATAAAAGAAAATTAAATTGCTTTAATCTTTTTAACTAACTCTGAAGATGCTGTCAATTGTGGGGTGGAGTTTGTATTGCCTAAACTTACCCAAGTGCTGTACAGGTATGCTCACAGGGGAACCAATAATTCTACACTGCCTTAATAGTGGCTGGAAAGAAACAGATACATAGGACATAGTTTATTCACCCTAGTGTAGCACAAGATGAATACAGACTTCACTATGTTTATTTCCTGACAGTCACTGAAAAGATAGCCCAGGGTGACCAGCCCAGAGGGATCCCTCTAAGACTGTTATCCACCTTGGTCAGGTGAATAAGTTTGTTTTTTTTTTAAATTGGTTGGAAACAGAAGTGCTGAGGGACCAACAGGCCAACTCCTGTTCTTACCTCTGCTGTCAGAGTTGTTCCAAAGAATGTTTATCAATATGGTGATAGGTGATTTATATATATAAATATATATATATATAAGGATTCATTCCTTTTCTCTCTTACATCATCTGCAATCCACATGTAAATACTAAGTAGAAATGCTGTCACTATACTGTTCTCACTGAAACTGCAAATTTTTGAAAATGCCTTTTCCTCCTCTTTCTTATACCTGTGCTAGAATCATGTACTTTAGAAAAACAGAACATCTAGAACATTTTTCTTCAGAAAAAGAGTAGCATTTTCCTCAGAGGTGTTCCAAACTTTCTTTTACACCTCAAATAGTTCCTGGGCAGATTATTGATCAAAATCTTAAGAAAACATAAAGTATTTCTTTGTGAAGTTGTTTCATTTCTGCGCTGGAGCTTATAAAATTTCGATGAAAATTGTCTACTACTAGACTCTGTGCTACAGCACAAGACACTCTCAGAGCATGCTGAAACTTAATTTCAGACTGTAGAATATTTCAGACTGTAGAAAAAATACACCATGAAAATTTTGGCTAAGGCATTCATCGAATAAAAGCATGGATTTCCAGGTTATGTCTATCCACCCCTCACAGTTGTTTTAACAACATTAAAACTAGCACAAATAACAAAAAGCTGTAACTTCTTTGGAGTAAAAATAAACAACAGACAAAGACAAAAATAAACCTACCTCCTCCTTGAAAATCCGTTTCCCTGTGGCTGTTACAGTAATTGGGCACAAAAAGGATGGAAGCTGTGAATTAGTGTTGGTGGCATATATTGGTGTGCTTTGACAATGTGATTTCATTATTAAGTTCTTCTAAACCGCTTGTGTTACAGGGTGAAAAAGTCCCGCCTACGTCTTACTCACTTCCTTTATTGTGTAATTCTGTAATGTCATGGGGGAAAGCATAGTTACAGCCATTGTTTCTGTACAGGGAGACAAATAGATCAGAATAGAAGGACACCCTCTTTCTCATAGAATCATAGAATCATAGAATCGTCTAGGTTGGAAGAGACCCTTGGGATCATCGAGTCCAACCATCTACCCTACTCTACAAAGTCATCCCCTACACCATGTCCCTTAGCACTGCATCTAAACGGCCCTTAAACACATCCAGGGATGGTGACTCCACCACCTCCCTGGGCAGCCTGTTCCAATGCCCTATCACTCTTTCGGTGAAAAATTCTTTCCTAATGTTCAGTCTAAACCTACCCTGTTGGAGCTTGAAGCCATTCCCTCTCGTTCTGTCACTAATTACCTGTGAGAAGAGACCAGCACCAACCTTTCTACAGTGTCCTTTCACGTAGTTGTAGAGAGTGATGAGGTCTTCCCTCAGCCTCCTCTTCCTCATACTAAACAGTCCCAACTCCCTCAGCCGCTCCTCATACGATTTGTCTTCCAGGCCCCTCACCAGCTTCGTTGCCCTCCTCTGTACTCGCTCCAGCACCTCGATATCTCTCTTGTATTGAGGTGCCCAAAACTGGACACAGTACTCCAGGTGTGGCCTCACCAGTGCTGAGTACAGGGGCAAGACTGACAGGTCTATAGTTTCCTGGATCATCCTTTTTGCCTTTCTTGTAAATGGGTGTTACGTTTGCCACCCTCCAGTCCATTGGAACCTCTCCAGTTAGCCATGACTTCCTGTAAATGATGGAGAGCGGTTTGGCGAGCACGTCTGCCAACTCTTTCAGCACTCTTGGGTGCAGCCCATCTGGTCCCATAGACTTGTGTGCATCCAGGTGGCTTAGCAGGTCACTGATCTCTTCCTCTTTAACAGTGATGCCCACATTCTGCTTCCCTTCCCTGTCTCCTAACTCATGAGGCTGGGTGTCCATGGAACAGCTAGTTCCACTGCTAAAGACTGACGCGAAGTAGGTGTTGAGCACCTCAGCCTTTTCCTCACCCTTCTCAGTTCATTCACGTAAGTTTCACTCATTTTTGTCACATATTTTTCATATAGGTGTTTGTACAGGGCACAGCCTCAAAGGTAGGTGAATGTATGAGTCTACCTTCTGGCTCCTGTATAGGTAAAGTAGCATTGTTTCAAGCCACGCCACAATTTCCTGCTTATTGCTTAGGGTTACCGCCCTGCATAGAAGAATAAATCTGGTGCTCTGGACTTCGTAACAGCCATTCCCAGCTTTGCACTAGCCAGCCTCATTTCCCGTAGACAGGTAACCAATGTTACCAGCTTCTACAACCTTTCCACTTGATGTGTACACATTTTTCTGGGCTGGATGAATTGGGCACATATATTAGGAAAATTTTCTTCATGAGTGCAAATCCTCTGCGTATACCAAATCAACACTACCTCACTTGTTTGTGCTCATGCTCTGGCCCCAGGAAGGTGTGCAGTCCCCCTTGCCCTCTGGCTGCAGAGTCTGAACGTCTTGTTTCCAACTGCATTCAACAATGTGAGCGCGCACTGTGTGGTGCTAGCACAGTGCAACACAGATTGTGCACTTCCCAGGCATGGACATCCACAGCTACCCATGCTAGCAGATTCCAAAATGAGTAAACCCCAGCCTTTTTTGCCGTCTTGACTGCTTTTGATGCTGAAGAATGTGCCTGGGTCCTGAAAGATGTTTTTTTCCAGCAAAGCAACTTTCTGCAAACTAAGAAATATTGCACCTGCCTTTTCATCTATCCATAGTACAGTCTGATTACAGACCCTTCTGCTTTTCACTGAATTTCACTGAATTTCACTGAATTTCTAGAGTTGGAAGGGACCATAGAGATCATCTAGTCCAACTCCCCTGCTGAAGCAGGATTGCCTAGAGCTTGTCAGAGCATGTTACTCAGGACTGCATCCAGGCGGGTTTTGAAAATCTCCAAAGAAGGGGACTCCACAACCTCCCTGGGCAGCCTGTTCCAGGGTTCCGTCACCCTCACCGTGAAGAAGTTTCTCCTCATATTTGAGTGGAACCTCTTATATTCCAACTTGTGCCCGTTGCCCCTCGTCCTCTCACTGGGAACCACTGAAAAGAGTCTGGCTCCCTCCTCCATCAACCCTCCCTTGAGATACTTGTAGGCGTTGATAAGGTCTCCCCTCAGCCTTCTCTTCTCCAGACTAAAGAGTCCCAGCTCTCTCAGTCTCTCCTCATAAGGGAGATGCTCCAATCCTTGAATCATCTTTGTAGCCCTACGCTGGACTCTTTCTAGTAGTTCCCTGTCCCTCTTGAACTGGGGAGCCCAGAACTGGACACAGTACTCCAGTTGTGGCCTCACCAGTGCAGAGTAGAGGGGGAGAATGACTTCCCTTGACCTGCTGGCTACACTCTTCCCTATACAACCCAAGATACCATTGGCCTTCCTGGCCGCAAGAGCACACTGTTTACTCATTGCCATTTTACTGTCCACCAGGACCCCTAGATCTTTCTCTTCAGTAGTTGCCTCTAGCGGGTCCACCCCTAACCTATACTGGTACCTGACATTTTTCTTCCCCAGGTGCAGGACCCTACACTTTTCCCTGTTGAACCTCATGAGGTTCTTCTTTGCCCAGCCCTCCAGCCTGTCCAAGTCTCGCTGGATGGCAGCACAGCCCTCCGGGGTGTCAGCCACTCCTCCCAGTTTGGTATCATCAGCAAACTTGCTGAGGATACACTCTGTCCCCTCGTCCAGGTCACTGATGAATATATTAAACAGCACGGGTCACCTTTAAATCATTTGAACAGGAAAATGAAGTGATTAAAGTAAACAGCAGCATTTAAATCTGATTAGTTATAATATTCACGGAGTATGCCAGTCTTACTATATGTATTTGTTATCTCTCACCTGAAGAGTGGTAAATCAGATCAGATTTGTCCTACTCCTGTTTGCCTGTTTCTTGTATAGCTTCATTCCCATCAGCCTCTGTTTTTGTGGCTCGTCTGGGCAGAGGAGGAATCAGGAGGTTTCTGAGAAGATGTTTCCTCTTCTTCAGGTCTCAATTCCTCAATTTTATTCATACAGTAGACAACAGGAGTCTACATGTTCCCTGTTAAGACATTTCATTTCAGGAGCTGCAGAAGTAAGGTCTATTGTTCTCTTTCTCACTTTCTGTTGTAGACACTTCTGTACAATTGGAGTGAATTATGGCTTTGGGACAGATCTGCATCAGTGAACCTGAAACCTTATTTTCTATAAGGTATGTACAACCTCCCCAACTAGATGACAATAGAGCTATGTAGGTTGGAAGCTAAACAGCTGATTCTCATATGCATCCATAAATTGCACAGGATGAAATGGGTCTTCTGTGAAAAGGATGTAAGTGTTTAATCAAGTCAAAGCTTTTCAGTATAGCAGGAAATACTAGTTGTTGTGTAGTGGACACAATTTGAAACCTTGTTACTATTATTTTCTAGTTTAATAAATGAGAATTTTTCAGAACATTTAACATTGTTAAAGGGATGAATTATCCAATAAAAAAAATATTATGGTCCAGTGATTTCTTGGATTTTTTTTATGTTCTTTAGTCCGTTGGCAGGATTGCTGCTTTCCAAAGTGTCAGTTAATTCTACACGCACTTTTAATGAACTTATTGATAAAGGACATTGCCACTGTGACTTTGAACCTGTTAAGGGCAGATTGTCTAGGGGAAAAAAAAAAAAGAAAAGAAAAAAAAAAGAAAGTTACAGAAATTAAAGGATTTGGTAAAGCCAGAGCATGAAAGAGTCTAAATCCCGTCAGTGGTACATACAAACTCCAAGACAATTGGACACTTGATATATACTCTCTACATACCAACCAGGAGGAAAAATATGATACAGAACCACAGGCGTCTCTAGGTAATCTATCATTGAACACATGAACCTTCAGAGGAAACCACTCATGGAAGCAGAGCAGTGGGATCATGCAGAATAAAACTAGGCATGTTTTCTTTCTCAGCAGTGACAGTGGAAGAATTTTCCTTGTATTTTGTTCAAACCTTATTATGACTAGAGAAAATTAAGTCAAACGAACTATGCCTCTGTAGCATCCATGGTAGGATGCCAAACTGGCACCAGACAAACTCTAACACTTTGTAAGACAAGTGCTCTCATGACAGTCCAGCATGGTTACTCATGCTCTGTTTGCTGATGAGATAAAGAAACAAATGCAAGCAAGAAGCGGTAGTTTTCTGCTGCAAGGCCAAGCACCATTTTTATTGCCTTTCTCTTTCGTATCAGCATTTCTACATCCTGCACATGTGTGTGGGAAGAGTACATGTTTTTGGCAAGTAAGTACCCAGAATGGCTTCCCTCCAAACCTCTGCAAGGGCCCATAGAACAACACTCTTTCTTGATGGATGCAGCTACTACAGGTATGTTTCATATTACTCATGTTTCTCCCACAAACTGCGGAAAGACTTAGGATACAGTCACCTGTGATTTACACCTGGAGCTCAGCACACAGAATTGGTTGTGCCTGTCTGTCTTTCAGAGAACTTTCTTTGTATGCTGTACTATTTGTTTACTTCGGGGAAGAACTAGTTTTCAAGCTCTATTTAGACTTGCAAGTCATTTCCAAAAGAAATGGGGGAAATCTATCCTTGGCAAGCTCTCAAGAGAAAAAGTTTTAAAATGTGTGCTTCCACCACCTGTTGAATTTGTTTAGTCTTCCAAACCCGACTGATGCTGCTTCTTATTGAAGACCCTTCAACAGGAGAAACATGTTGCTGAAGCAAGTGAGGGGCTGAAATGCATACATGCCAGAGCATGTGGAATGATAGTGGCTCTGATCTGAGAAAAGCTTTATTATGTGGCTGTTTCTAGTTCTTAAAAGAATACTTGCATCAAGCATGCCCATAAACAGTGGGTAAATAGAAGTCCACAATTAACC